CGAATTTTTGAAATACGACCTATCCATTCATTATCAAAGAAATTGGACATTCATTAGTGACAGACAAAAGATGGTAAATCATGTCTGATTTTTGACTAGTGCTTGTTAACTTAAATACATGTTACTTGTTTTTTTTTTAAAAAAAAATTTTCCCTTCAAAATAGGATTTAGGGACTAGAATATTCTTATTTTAAGAGAAAGGAAGGAGAAAACTAAACAAAAAGAAAGGAAAAAGTAAAAGAAGAAGGAATAGATAAAAAGAAAATAAAGGACATTTTTTTTCCTCAAGGTTTTAAAGGGAAAATGATCCAAATAGTTATCCAACCTCTTTTAGTGAACCACTTTTGATCTTTGACTTTAGGGATACTTTCAGATACCTCCCCTGAGGTTTCTGACAGTTTCACTCTCCTCCCTTATGGTTTCAAAAATATCACAAACCTCCCCTGTCAGAATTTAGGTCTCATTTCTTACATCATCATGGCAAAAAGACTTAAATACCCTCACAAGTCAGTTAATATTTCGTAATTATCAGGACAAATACATTCCAACTCACGTAATTATTTTTTTCTACACTATATCTAATCTCCCTTTTATATATATACATAGTCAAATAACTAACACCTAATATGATGTACATTTTTTTAACACCTAACATTCCAAATTTATGCGTACTATTACACTACCTTTTATAGATATACGCAGTCAAGTAATTAACATATAACATAATGTATATATTTGTAAATTGATTGTACCTCATAGATCATCCCGTGTAAGATGTTTATAGGCAAATTAATATTAGTCATATAAATAAATTTACATACCCATTGCAGCTTGTAAGGAGATGCACAAGTGGGTCAAAGCACCAATAACCATTCCAAATGTATACATACCATTGCACTATGTATATTGCTGCGATGACTAATTGCAATATGCATGTGAACAAATAACTGCATGTTCAACAATTTCTATGCATCGTACTTGGTCGATAACATAGTGTACATTATTTCAATCAGATTGTACATTCACTAAGTATTTATATACATGTTACTTATTGAAATAAACTATTTCTCTACTAAATATTTAATGCACTCTCATAAGCACTAATGGTTGATTTAATATGCAATTGGAACAAATAACCATCTAGTAAAAGCTTTCCCTTTTTTTTCTAATTTATTTTTTGTTTTTATTAGTTTTCATTATTTCACTAATATAACTTGTACACTTACCTCAGGGGGCATTTATGGAAACAAAAAATTTTCTCTCTTTTCTGAAAACACTTTTTTATGTTCACTTTTGACATCATGGGCTGATTTTGTTACAAAATCCTAAACCTCAGGAGAGGTTTGTGATATTTTTGAAACTACAGGGGAGGAGAGTGAGATTGTCAGAAACCTCAGGGGAGGTTTCTGAAATTATCCCTTGACTTTAATTTGAAATAATGTCGTCGTTGAACTTTTATTATTGGCCAATTTGGTCCTTCCATATTAACTTCCGATAATGTCATCCTTTAACTTTTATTATTATCATTGGGCCAACTGGGTAGTCCAACTTTTTATTGACCAACTTGTAAAAAAAGTAAAGTTATTAATTTCTATTTTTGATCGCTAAATCAAGTCTTAACATCAAAAAAAAAAATAAAAAAGCCTAAAAGCTTAAAACAGAATAGGTCTAGAAACAGTGGAAAATGCTTAAAGCAAAAGAGTAATAACCCAGCTCAACTTTTTTTTTTTTGTCATAAATTTTATTAGGGAATGTCCAACTGTGCTTTGCGAATTTACAATAGTCAATTGAGTTTTATGGTAAGCACTTGAGTTGCGCAATTTTTTTTTTTTTTTTTTGTAAGCAATTTTCCCTTCCCTGATTTGTATTTCATAAGTTTTTGGTATTTTTGTTTTCCATGGTCAAAGAATATGCATTGACGATTTTGTTCCTCCTAAAGTGGGTTAGTAAAAAGCAGAAAACCAAATTGGCCCAATTATAAAGTTAAGTGACGATATCATCTCAAATTATAGTTGAAGGATGAAATTGTATGAATTATATAAGTGAAAGGATGACATTGTCCCAAACTAAAGTTGAACAACTTAGAAGTGATTCAATAAAAATGTTATAGGACTACTTGGTTCATTTACCCCTTAAATGGGATTAATGTGATGGTAAATGAAACAAAATTGGAAACTAATGGGGACAAAATGAGACAATATTGGTGAGTAATTTACTGTATACCATATATTTTTGGGTTAATCACATTTTATCCCCTTAAAGAATACTTCATTTCTCAGTTTACCCCCTAACCTTTAATTTTACTCACTTAACCCCCTTTAGGACAAAATTACCCTTGCATTATTTTGACTTTTCATTTACCTTGTTATCCTTTCTTTTATTTCTTTTTCTCTTTCTTCTTTATTTAATTTTTCCTCTTTCCCACGAAAATCTTTACCTTAATGATTGAAATTAAAAAAGAGAAATTGCAGAGATCTATCTTCTTCTTCAATGATTAAAAAAATATTCAAATCACTTCCCTAAATTATAATTTTTTTTAGCCTTTCAATTCTTTTAATTTTGGATTTTCCTCTTTCCTTTCTAGTTTCTCATTTTATTCTCAAGAAAATATCATAAGATGAAATTGCTTCTCTTTCTTTTATTTATTTTTCTCTTTCTTCTCTTTTTCATCCTTCCCAATAGAAATTCCATTTCAACGAAAATTTTTATTTTGAGTTTGTAATTACATATTTCTGGGTGAAGGTTTAAAAGGTATCAAAAACTAATTTTGATTTTTTGTATGATGCAACGTGTCACAAATTTCAATTGATGGTTATTAATTAGGTCACAATTTCATCTTAAGATATTTTCTTGGGAATAAAATGAGAAACTAGAAATGAAAGAGGAAAACCCAAAATTAAAAGAATTGAAAGGCTAAAAAAATTGTATTTTAGAAAAGTGATTTGACTATTTTTTTTAATCATTTAAAGAGAAGATAGATCTCTGCAATTCCTCTTTTTTAATTTCAATCATTAAGGTGAAAATTTTTGTGGGAAAGAGGAAGAATTAAATAAAGAAGAAAGAGAAAAAGAAATAAAAGAAAGGAAAACAAAGTAAATGAAAAGTCAAAATAATGCAAGGGCAATTTTGTCCTAAAGGGGGTTAAGTGAGCAAAATTAAAGGTTAGGGGGTAAACTGAGAAATAGGATATTCTTTAAGGGGATAAAATGTGATTAACCATATATTTTTTACATAACCAAATGGGTTAAATATTCATTACTTGTAGCATAATAATAAAAAGATAACTATAATTATCATCCTCATTTGGTCGAGTTTAGTTTTTTTCGACTTGCAATTGTACGGAGTGAGTGCTCTACGTGGCTTAACTCGAACCGAGCTTAAATTCAGAAAAGAATAAAGTAGGGCGAGCATTTCTCGAGTCAAGCATCTAATACCGCATGTATATTTACTTACATCCTTATTTTAATCGCATTATTTATAATTTTCCTAATAATGCATTTGGGTTCACAAATTATTTCGTAAAACTTTGCGTAAATATATTTAGCAATTCACATATATTACATTACAAAAAAATTACTACACTATATTCTCTAAAATTATATTCAAAAAAATAAGCTACAACCGAAATGCACTCATAAGAACATTTGTAAAACTTTTTGAAGGTAAATTGTGAGTTGTCATGATAACCAAAAAAAAAAAGAGAAAAAGGTAATGAAAGAACCAATTTAACCAATATTCCAAGAAAAAACTTGTTTGACAAAAGAGCACAAAAAAAAAAGACAAAAAAAGAAAGAAAGAGAAAAGAGAAGAAATAATTTGAGACCAATTCAACTGTGAAAACCCGGTGACCTCTCACCTCCAACCACGTAATCCCTCCCCATCTCTAACTGTCCCTTTCGTCTCCCTATCAACCCATGGGTCCCACCAATTTTCCCTCTTCTTCCTCTCTCTCTCTCCATTTAAATTTCCCCCTTCCTTCCCTCCATCTCTACCATCCAACGCCCCTTCCCTTCAGCTGCCTCCGCTCATCGGTACGGACCTATAATCCTCTCTCCAATCTGCATTATTCTCATTTCTAACTTCGCTTCTCTCCTCTCTCTCAATTTCTTCTCCCTCAAATTCGTTGAACAATTTATTCTCACTTTTTTTCTTTTTCGTGTTTTCATCAATCATAATAATTGCAGGCGAAGGCTAGCTGTCTTCTTTCTCTCCTTCTTGATCGTAAGCAATCTTCTGTTCTGTTTTCGGTTTTACATTGTTAATATTAGTCAAGCATTTAGGAAAATATTAGTAAACAGGTACATTTTTTGCTAGTTAATTTGGTTGTTCCAGTATCTCCTTCGACTTATCAATCTCTGCAACAATTTTTGAGTAATCAATTTTAGATTTTTTTTTTGAGATTTGAATGTATGTATTTGTTTATATTTAATGATCTCCGGTTTTTTTTTGAATGATTAACTTATTGGAAGAAATTAAGAAGAAAACATTATTAGGTAGGTGCATTTTAAAGTTAGTTAAGAATCAATTCATTAATTTGTGCATATATATCTCTCTGTGTGTGTAATTATTATCGAAAGAAATTAGGAAGAAGGATGCAAATAATACAGTTTTGTTTTGTTTACGTAATTTGATTTTTTTGGATTGTTTCTTTCTCTTTATCGATTTTCTGCAACAATTTACGAGTAATTATGGTGTAGATTTAGGAAGGATCAAATTTATAGATATACATGAGTAATTGTGTGTGTGATAATGTATAGATTTCAAGAGAATTAAACGTTGATATATTGTTTGTTTGGATCAGAGATAGGAGAATTGCAGGCAGAAAAGCGAAGGGGAGATAGAGAGAGGAGAGAGAAAAGGTGGTGAGTTAGTTTAGAAGCTTGGTACTGGATGGTTGGCTAGCTTGATAGGGCTAGCTAGCTAGCGAAGCGGAAGAGTAGACGGAAAAAATGGCGTCGACGACGGGACAGGAATCGGCGACGCCGACGGCAGGCGCCTTGTCGCGGCGGCCGTCCCGGAGCGCTGCCATGACAACGTTCTCCATGGAAGTCTTCGACACTGAGGTCGTTCCTTCGTCGCTTCAGTCCATAGCTCCCATTCTCCGAGTCGCTACAGAAATCGAACAAGAACGCCCTCGCGTCGCCTATCTCTGTACGTAGCAAAAACTTTTCTCCACATTGATTTTATTATTATTTTTTTTGGTTTTGGAGAAATTTTTTCGTATATTTGGTTATATGATTTTCGTGTATGTATAGGTCGGTTTTATGCGTTTGAGAAGGCCCACAGATTGGACCAGACGTCGAGTGGACGTGGTGTACGGCAGTTCAAGACACGTCTTCTTCAGCGATTGGAGCGGGTAATTATTCCCTATTTTGATTTTTAATTGTGATCATTATTTCTCGCTTTATTCCTCTTCTTCTTTTTTTAAAAGGGAATTAATGTTGTTTCGGTGCATTTACATTTTAGTGATGTGAGAGAAGAGTAGAGGATTGAAATTGGGGGATAAAGTATGTATGACGTGTTGGGAAAGAAAGGGAGAATTTGGTAATTGAATGATATTTGTTTTTCTACCCAACGAATTAATTCAATTTTATACTCCTTTTTAATGGGGAGATGATGATTAGTAGAATAATGTACGAAATTTTTATAGTTTCAGGGATTCTATTGACTTCAATTGCACTTCTCACATTTGTGAGAAGGTTTTGAGTTAGACGAAAATGATGATTTATTTGTGTGCGCATTTATTTGATAAGCAATTTTGATGTAGTACAAAGGGATATGGAGAGAGAGAGAGAGAGAGAGAGGAGCTCTGAACTAATAGTTTTATTATGCAATAAATTTCTATAGGTAAGTGAATCGAAAAAGTCTTAAATGGTTTGAGTATTTAGCTGATGTTTCAGTGCTCCTTTTGCATATTTGTAATGTCCAATTTCCAGATTTCCAGAAATCTCTTCGTGTTTGAATATCATATTTAAGAAATGTATTTTATATTGATCAATTCTATTGGAAGATGAGGGCATTTTAACTTGCTGGGGTGCTTGAAGACTAATGGAATAAACTGTTATTCAGGACAATGCATCGAGTCTTGCTTCCCGAGTCAAAAAGACAGATGCGAGAGAAATTGAGAGCTTTTACAAACAATACTACGAGCATTATGTTTTGGCACTCAACAAGGGGGAGCAAGCTGATAGGTAATATAATCTATCCAGGGCTATTTTCATAGCTAAAAGATGTTGTGTTTGCTCTCATTGTCAATTGCTGTACTGGTACCAAACTTTCCTTCCGCAGGGCTCAGCTTGGCAAAGCTTACCAGACTGCTGGAGTTCTTTTTGAAGTGCTTTGTGCAGTTAACAAGACTGAAAAAGTTGAGGAAGTTTCTGCTGAGGTCAGTCTTTGTAGAATATCAATTCGTTGTTGATTCCAAAACTATCTACCATGTACTTTCTGATTTTGGGATAAGAAGCTCTCTATTTGATGATGTGAACAGATTATGGCCGCAGCAAATGATGTCCAAGCCAAGAAGGAAATCTACGCTCCTTATAATATTCTTCCTCTGGATTCTGCTGGGGCATCTCAGTCCATTATGCAGCTTGATGAGGTTGCACATTTGCCTTGATCTTGACAAAAAACTGGACTGTTTTATCCCATATAGAAATATATGTGGCTAAGATGATAGACTCCTACTATTTTGCTTCATACCAGGTTAAAGCTGCTGTTTCTGCTCTCCGGAACACACGAAATTTGAATTGGCCGGCCACATTCGAGCAGCAAAGACAGAAAATTGGGGAGTTGGACCTTCTCGATTGGCTGCGTGCCATGTTCGGGTTTCAGGTACTTAAGAGATACTTAATTATCTTTATCACTTAATGATCATGTGTTTGTCAAGGTGATCATTTATCATGGGTTTGACGTCTACAGAGGGACAATGTTAGGAACCAGAGGGAACATCTAATTCTATTGCTTGCTGATATTCACGCAAGGCTAGTTCCGAAGCCTGAGCCACTGAATAAGGTATGGAACGCTGTATGATGTGAGAATCTGAATTTGTTGCGATAACAGAATCAATTTTTAGCTTCTTGTATCATTTGTGTTACCACCCACGTTTAATGAATGATATAAAATTGCATTTTGACCGACTTATGAGTTGATTTTGAACTGGTCCTGTATCATATTCCTGCATCTACATTTTGCTCACTCTAGCGATTGTTGTTGAACCATCTAATTGCCCTTTCTATTACTTTTTAAGTAAAATTCTTTGCCTGTGCTTGTCAAAAGAGTAAGTACTAAACGTGCAGCTGATTGGCAGCTTGACGATCGTGCTGTTGATGCACTCATGAACAAGATTTTCAAAAACTATAAAACATGGTGCAAATACTTGGGAAGAAAACACAGCTTACGGTCAGATAATTTTCATCTTCCTTCTATTTACTTATTTTCATTTCTTACCTTGAATGATCTTGAACTTCTGATCTGAATTATGACTGTTCTTGCTTCTAGTCTCCCTCAAGGACAAGAGGAAGTGCAACAAAGGAAACTACTATACATGGGTCTCTATCTTCTTATATGGGGTGAAGCTGCTAATGTCCGGTTCATGCCAGAGTGCCTATGCTACATATTTCATAATGTCAGTGCTTCAATTTTCCTTACAATGATCGTACTATTGATTTTATTAGAAATAAACATGAAAGTATATCACGTGGTAATGTTTATGCACATTTCAGATGGCTTATGAACTCCATGGTCTTTTGGCTGGAAATGTCAGCATCGTCACAGGAGAAAACATCAGGCCTTCTTATGGTGGAGATGACGAATCTTTTCTGCGGAAGGTCATAACACCTATTTACCGAGTAATTGAAAAGGTACTTTCATGCATAAATTGCACATAATTTTTTTTGACATTGAGAGTGTCTCTCTAGAGGTTAGCTTTTTGGTGCTTATTTTCCACCAGGAAGCCAAAAAGAGCAAAAATGGAAAAGCCCCGCATTCAGATTGGTGCAATTATGATGACCTCAACGAGTACTTCTGGTATGCATACGCTTAAATGGTTTATTTGATGACTAAACATGAAATGCTTGTTCATTTTCTTTAGAAGCATTACATGGTCAACATCCTCCAGGTCTACTGATTGCTTCTCTTTGGGTTGGCCTATGAGAGATGATGGTGATTTCTTTAAATCAATACGCACTGTGGGTCAGGTCTGTATTTATTCCAATCCAGTTTCCTTTCATTATTTGTTAGTCTTCTGCATTTTTTCTTCATACAACTCCTATTTTAGGGAAAACATGCGTCTAGAAAGAAGCCAGGAAAAACAGGCAAATCCTATTTTGTTGAGACCAGAACATTTTGGCATATATTCAGAAGTTTTGACCGTCTCTGGACATTCTATATACTTGCTCTTCAGGTGATTGACTTAATCCAATAAAAAATTCATAAAACAAATTTTTCCTTTATCCTAATTTTGGTGGTTGATTCAGCAGTTGACTGGAATTGTTTTGTCGCAGGCCATGGTTATAATAGCTTGGAGTGATGTTTCTTTAATTGACATTTTCCAAAAGGATATCTTATACAAGCTGTCCAGCATTTTCATGACAGCAGCCTTTTTGCGCTTCCTTCAGAGTATGTAATTCTTGTTTGGTTTCTGCAGCAATAACTTTGATGCCTTTAGTAGTTGTTCTCAAACCTTATCAAATGCTATCATGCTTCTGCAATGCCAAATAGTTTTTCATTTTTATGATTTTTTTCTAATAATATTTTGTTTGTAAGAGTTGATGAAATGCTAATATTGGAAGATAATCAAAGGACCTAGAATTCAAATTCGTTTCTGACATACAATAGTTTCCTGCCACCCTTGTCATGTATTATGCTGCTCTATCATTCCTAGTGCTTTAGTTCAAGTTTCCTAGCCAATTTATTTATATTAGGTAACTGGTAGTATCTGATTTTGTCAAAAATGGTTTGTGACCTTCAGATGGTTGTAGAAATATCATGGTATGAAGCCTTTCACTTTTGTTATTCTAGAGATACTGCGATTTGGACTGTTTTAGTGTGATATCCTAAATCCTACAGCAAGCTAGATTCAGATGATTTTGTTTAAGTAGGCATTCTAATTTAATATAGCATCAAACTGTTGTTGTTCAAACATGGATAGAGGAAGAACTAGACTAGAGTGGGCTCTCAGTTTTGTTTTTTAATTAATTCACTGCTAATGATTTGGTATAGGGTGTGATAACCTGGGATTTTGTCTCCTCAGAAAATGTATAAATGAAATTTACTGCTATATTGCTCTCAGTTCACGTGATGTTGGATATAACATTGGGCATTTGGAAGAGAATGATTGTCTTCTTGCAGCCTTTTTAACTGACATCTTTGTTTCACAGCCTCTTTGATATGTGTTTTGCACCATCTGGGAACTGAAATGCTGCTTTAATAGTTTGCACCAAATACTTTCTCACTAGGCAGGGATTTAATTTTCTGTCATACTGTATTTTGGAATGTTAGGTCTCTGGTTTTGGGACTGCTCTGTTTAGAGATTAATATCCTTCTTGTATTCTTTACTAGGTATTTTGGACCTTATTTTGAACTTTCCCGGGTACCATCGATGGAAATTCACAGATGTAGCGAGGAACATTCTCAAGATAGTTATCAGCCTTGCATGGTCCATTGTCCTTCCCCTGTGTTACCTCCACCAAAATAATAACTCTTTTTTACGTTTGGGAAATATGAAAGATGTTTTATCCTTCCTTGATAAAATGAAGGGTATTCCTCCATTATATCTCATGGCTGTGGCTATATACCTTCTGCCTAATTTGCTGGCAGCAGTTTTGTTTATCTTTCCAATGCTCCGGCGCTGGATTGAGAACTCAGATTGGCTTATTATAAGGTTTCTTCTGTGGTGGTCACAGGTATGGTTCTTTACCTTTTCTTTTTCCTCTTTTTTGTTTCTTCTATTTTGATTTGAACATGGTGGGGGTTTTGACATGAAGTCAAACTGGTTCACTTGATGGTATATGAAGAGTTATAGAAGTGGTGGATTACGTGAAAAAATTACCTCCTATAAATATGAAGTGGAAATCCTGATATAAGTGCAAATATGGTAAGCTTCAATCTTTACTGTACACCGAGGAATAGAAGATAGCAATACTTAGATCTTTATTAAATTTCATCTATATAATTATCTGTCTCTAGGTTAAACAAGTTAACTAGATCTTTAATTCAGTGATTTAGTTATAGGTCGGGAGGAGAATTCTTCAAATAGCATTTTGTTAACGGTAAAAATTTTACTTGAATATACATGCAGTACAAGTGACATTTTTAGGTTCTGAATGCACACATAATTTTTGACAAATAATAATGCTGAAAATGATGTACGTCTTTATCTTTACATGCAAAAGTGTATCAGTAGCTAAAGATGATGACCTTTACTCCTCTCCATATTTGGTTAGTTCTTACTTTGTAGTCTCAATGTTTAAGCTTTTGGTGTAGTTTTTGCTTTTTAACAGTTCATAACTCTAATTGTTTCTCCACTGACATGCCAGTGAAATTGCTGGCTAGTTAATAATTGCACTATTACTTAGTTATTCAGAATTAAGTGTTAAAATTTTTTTGAATCACCTAAACTGGCTTTACAAAATAGGCTTTGGTTTCTGATAAAATTTCATGCGTTCAGCAGAATTATGCTTATTGTATTACATGACAAATCTATAACTGCATAGCAGATATATTTGTAATGCATAGATCGCAAAAAGTTCTTAGATACCCAAGGTATCTGAACATAGTTTTGGGCTTATCAACACAGTTCTTTTTTAATTGGTCTGATTCCTTGGTACTCAGAAACAATAAAGATGCATTTTCTAACAGTTGTTCCCATGAATGTCTCCTAAGACAATTACGTCTCTCAATGACTTGGCACTTGTTTTTGCAGCCAAGGATCTACGTGGGAAGGGGAATGCATGAAAGTCAATTTGCACTAATAAAGTATGTTGAACTAGGACCATCTTTGCACTAATGTCCTTTTAAGTACTATCATTTAACATGTTCTGAACCGTTCATATTCCACTGAAACCAGATACACTCTCTTTTGGGTCATACTTCTATGTTTCAAATTCGCAGTTAGCTACTTGATCGAGGTATTTGCCTCATCTCTAGTTTTTGTTTTTTTTTTTTGTTTCCACTATTAAGAAGAGGAAAGATTCTTTTTTGTTATTTACTAGCTCTTTGAATATGATGGTTATTTTAAACTCCAGATAAAGCCTCTGATAAAGCCGACAAAGGATATCATGAATATACGCAGAGTGCAGTATGCTTGGCATGAATTTTTTCCCTATGGTAGATGTTTTATTGTAGCATGTCGTTTCTTATACTTCTCCTTTATCCTACTTCCTTGACACTAAAGAAATTATACATGATGCAGCGAAGCACAACTATGGAGCTGTAGCTGCACTTTGGGCACCAGTGCTATTGGTGTGTCTTTCTTGTCTCCTCTTCTCGGTCTTACAAAGAAGTGAATAAGCTTCCTTGTCCAGAATAAGTATCTGATATGATTAAAAGTTATTATGCAGGTTTATTTTTTGGACACTCAGATTTGGTATGCAATTTTCTCGACCCTGTGTGGTGGTGTTATTGGGGCATTTGATCGTCTGGGAGAGGTACAAAACTTATATTCATGTATAAAAACCATCTGCAATGATCCTCTGCAATGGTCCTTAAAGGCTTAATCATGTATGAAAACCAAAACTTATATTCCAAAACTGAGAAATTTCAAGTTCGAATCAGAATTATTTCTTGAATGCAACTAGTAGAATGAAAGAAAGGGACTTTATTTTCTCATCATCACAGAAAAGACTATAATGTATTCCCTATTTTCAACACATCTTTGTAGCTTCGTAGGTGTAAAACTGTTCTTTCTTTTGGTTTGCACATTAGCAAATTTTCTGGTTACGTAAATTTTAAGCAGTTTGTTTATATCATTTTGTACATTTTGGTTACTTCTATGGATGTAAAATTACTCAGCATCCCTATGAGTAGCCACTTTTCATGCATTTATCATAATCATTCATTGTTTCCTGGTTTTTCTTCAAATGTCATCCTGTAATTTCTGCTGTGATCAAAGTCACATCCACATTTTTTTCTTCACAGATCCGCACCCTAGGCATGCTCCGGTCAAGGTTCCAGTCTTTGCCTGGTGCCTTCAACACATACTTAGTGCCTTCTAAAGGAACCAAGAAAAGAGGCTTTTCTCTGTCAAAACATTTCGATGAGGTTAATGTTCATTTGAGCAGCAATTGTGATAGGTACCAATGGTGTTAAGTATCCACCAAAGAAAATGGGGTAAAATTTATATGCATTTGCAGGTTACTGCAAGCAGGAGAAGTGAAGCTGCAAAATTTGCTCAGTTATGGAATGAAGTAATTTGTAGTTTTCGCGAAGAAGATCTCATAAGTGACAGGAAAGCCTCTGATAACTTACTTCTTCTCTGCCTGATCATTTTTTTATCCTTTTGGAGTTGGAGCCTAAATTGAGTATTTTTATTATTTCAGGGAGATGGATCTGTTATTAGTTCCTTATTCCTCAGATCCTAGTTTGAAGATAATTCAGTGGCCACCCTTTTTGCTTGCAAGCAAGGTAGCATTCATCTCCTGAAGTCTTTCTTAATCCTTTACTTTTTGTCCTGTTAATTTTTTTTTTGTTCTGCAGATCCCTATTGCACTTGATATGGCAGCCCAATTTCGATCAAAGGATGCTGACCTTTGGAAACGTATCTGTGCTGATGAATACATGAAATGTGCTGTTATAGAGTGCTATGAATCTTTCAAACTTGTTTTGAATGCCCTGGTTGTTGGGGAAACTGAGAAAAGGTTGTCTATTCCACTTCTCTATAGCTTTTGGCTTCTTGTCCTGTCTTCTACATGTTATCTACCTCTGCAGTCTAGAGATACTGCTGCAAAAGTTAGTTTCTTCAATATGGCTCTCATGATGCTAAATTACCTTTAGTTGGTTCTTGCTCATGGCTTTGATTATTTGTTGAACTTTGCAAATTTTTGGTTGTTATAGTATCTCGCTTTTTTCTTTTCCCTTGATCTCCCCCTATTGAGTCTCTGTTCCCCTATCGATCTATCTTTCCCTCTCTTTTTCTGTGGCTCCCTCTATCTCTCTTCCCCCCTGGTTGCCCCAATATCTGCATGTTGTTTAGCTTTTTGACTTGCAGGAAAGGTTCATGGCAAAACTTCTAGCTTTCTTAATTTTACTGTGTCCCATTTTATCACTTAGCCATCTCAGCCGTTATTGGAATTTTACTACTGTTGTCAAGGGTATTCTTGAATATTAGATCATATCATTATTCGGATGGTAATTCTGTTTAGTATGTTATAGGGTAATTGGAATCATCATCAAAGAAGTTGAAAGTAGTATTTCAAAAGGTACATTCCTCTCAAACTTCAGAGCAGGTTCCCTTCCTCAACTTGTTAACAAATTTGTGGAGCTTGTGGAGATATTGGTGAGTTAATAGCAAGAATTATTTATAGGATGCCAGACATTTTTCCACAAGTCTTAAAAGTAGTTTAATTCTTGTTCAAAACATTTGCTGCAGAAAGATGCCGATCCATCTCAGGGAGGTTCTGTGGTCTTTAAACTACAGGACATGTTAGAAGTGGTAACGCGGGACATGATGGTGAATGAAGTCCGGTAAGTAGATAGGTTGATAGCTATCAATTCGATATCTTTTTCATTTCTGGTGGCACAAACAGATTTTTGGTTCTTCTCTAGTATAGGTACACTGAATTCATTTGCTTGCTCATTTTATTTCAGTGAGCTGGTAGAACTTGGTCATACTAGCAAAGATTCTGGAAGACAGCTATTTGAAAAGTCAGCTATAGCCTACCCTCCTGTAGTTACAGCACAATGGGAAGAACAGGTATGCATATATTTTCAAATGTAGGATTTCATTCGTTAATATACCATGCCTCCTTTCCTTGTACTTGTACCATTCAATTAATGACTTATAAAAGGTCCTTGATCAATAACAATTGCAGCATTGTCATCAAAATGATCAGGACAGATGTGTCTACCTATATATGCAGAGCAACTGATTTTTTACCTATAACACATTGGATTGTGTTCCATTTGCAGATTAGTCGTCTTTATCTCCTCCTTACTGTGAAAGAATCTGCTATTGATGTGCCAACTAACCTTGAAGCACGTAGAAGGATTTCATTTTTTGCAAATTCATTGTTCATGGACATGCCACGGGCACCTCGAGTTCGTAAAATGCTCTCATTCAGGTAAGCTGCTGTTTGATAAATTAAATGGCATATTTGAGCTATAATGACCTTTTAATGACATAAGCTTTCTGATCTTGTTACTTGATGCTTCTGCTAATCCAATTTGTACTATAGAGAGATGCATATCCACATCTATGCAAGAATCTTTTGAGTACTTGATCAATTAATGAAAAATCATAAATATAGTTGTTCATCATATGGAAGTGTAGACTTCTATTTCAACCAGAAGAATAATACAAATTTTTTCTTTTCTTATTCAAGATGCATCAGTCATTGCCGATCCAAATTGGTAATTAAGCATTAGAACAGTTTTTAAATTTGAAAATGTAGTTACCCCATATCCACTGGAATTGCAGTGTCATGACTCCCTACTACAGTGAGGAGACTATCTTCTCAAAGACTGACCTAGAAATGGAAAATGAAGATGGTGTTTCAATCATATACTATCTCCAAAAGATTTATCCAGGTCCATCCTGATTACCCCTTGTTCTATTGATCATTGTTTTGGTTTTGCGTTGTTTAAATTATTGTGTTATTTATCCAACATCTCCCTATGTCCTTGTCAGATGAATGGAATAATTTTCTGGAACGTCTCAACTGTAATGAGTATGAAGTTTGGGAAAATGAGGAGAACATACTGCAGCTGCGTTACTGGGCCTCCTTAAGGGGACAGACTTTAAGCAGAACGGGTTTGTTATAGACACATTACTTATTGCACTTTTTTTATTTACATTTTTTGTTCAATACTTCTATATTTGTTACAAAATCATTCATTCTGCAGTTAGAGGAATGATGTACTATAGAAGGGCACTGAAGCTTCAGGCATATCTTGACATGGCTTCAGAAAGTGGTAAGAGGAAATTTATATCAATACTTCTGGAATTATGTCTCAACATCTTAAGAATTTGTTTTTTGACCCAGTTAGTAGATTTCTAGTTTCATAAATGATGACTGTGTAACTTTTACCCAACATCATACAGCATGACGCTCTGCAATTAATTTAAACCATCAATAAAACGAATTAATTGAACTGCACCCAATTTGTTTATCAAAATAAAAGCATATTTCATATAACCAAGTACCTTATTAAAGTAGTAATTACATTTTCTGTGTTTCTGATTGACTCTCAACTCTGCAGAGATACTCAAAGGGTATAGAGCAGTTACAATGCCATCAGAAGAAGATAAGAAAAGCCAAAGATCTATGTATACCCAAATAGAGGCTATAGCTGACATGAAATTTACATATGTTGCAACCTGTCAGAACTATGGAAACCAGAAGAGAAGTGGGGATCGTCGTGCGACTGATATTTTGAATTTGATGGTCAAGTAAGTTTTTTCTTTCTGGACATTGGATGTTGTGATTCGGTCTCTTGATTTCTTAATCCATGTGTTTATATGTTAATAATGTCTTATTTTTTGGTTTTCTCATTTAGCAATCCATCTCTTCGTGTTGCATTCATTGATGAAGTTGAAGAAAGGGAAGGTGGAAAAGTGCAGAAAGTTTATTACTCTGTATTGGTAAAAGCGGTCGATAATCTTGATCAGGTATAACCATATTTTATCCACAAAATATTACCGTGCTGATTCTCTTGTTGCTTCAAGTCTGACTATATTTTGGTTCATGATGAAGGAAATCTATCGCATAAAACTACCTGGTGCAGTAAAGTTGGGAGAAGGAAAGCCAGAAAATCAGAACCATGCTATCATTTTTACTAGAGGGGAAGCTCTGCAGACAATTGATATGAACCAGGTAAAACCTCAGATTTTTGAACCCGTAATAATTTAGATTGAGTCAGAAAACATGATAAACTTCCTTCTATAGGACAACTATTTGGAAGAAGCTTTTAAAATGCGTAACTTACTTGAGGAATTTAATGAGGATCATGGGGTGCGCCCACCGACAATTCTTGGTGTTCGCGAGCATATCTTCACTGGAAGGTAAGAATATCATGTTATGTAGCTTAGTTCAACTTGTTTCACCCCAAATTTTTCTCATCTAACACAATCTTAACATGAACAGTGTTTCGTCCTTGGCTTGGTTTATGTCAAATCAAGAAACAAGCTTTGTCACTATTGGTCAAAGAGTTCTTGCGAGGCCCTTGAAGTATGTTCTTTCTCACATCAAAGTGCAAGTTCTTTTGTATCTATTATCTAAACGTCTTCCTTACTGTAATTGTGGTCATTTGCCATCAAAGGAGTAATAGTTTGCGTATCTATTATCTAATGTGGGATAGATGGTCAAGTGAAATTTTATGACCTTTGAGTATTGCCAAATGAAATTTTAGGATAGGGGGTAGATAGATATCCACTTAAATTGTAAGTGTAATAATCCCATGCTTGGAGATGAAATGTTTTCCCTCTTCTTGGAAGGTCCTCATACCATTGTCTCTCCAAGACAATTTCTCACATCTTTTCAGATGCTTTTCTTTTAGACTGTTATATATTTTTCTGATGCCATTTTCTTTAGAGGACAAGAACGAACGTACATGTGTGTGGATATACTTTGATGAATGTATATATAAATTTTTATTGAGCTGTTTCCCCGATTTTTGTTTCTTCTTTGTTTGCAACTTGTTAGATAAACCTTAATTTCTTCTCTTGAAATGGGTTGGACTAGGGTTCGATTCCATTATGGACATCCTGATGTGTTTGATAGAATTTTTCACGTTACCCGTGGTGGTATCAGTAAAGCTTCAACGGGCATCAATCTCAGTGAGGACATATTTGCCGGTGAGTTTCCCAAATTTTCTGACTTCGTTATCTAGATTCACAATTGTTTCCAGTGGAAAGTGACATTAATGGTACATTTAAAGAAAGAAGGTTGACAGAGAATGATATTTCCATGATATTTGTTGTATAGGTTTCAATTCTACGTTACGACGCGGGAACATCACTCACCATGAGTATATCCAAGTTGGGAAGGGTCGAGATGTTGGTCTCAACCAAATCTCGCTTTTTGAGGCAAAGGTGGCATGTGGTAACGGGGAGCAGTCACTTAGCAGGGACATATACAGACTGGGGCATCGTTTTGACTTTTTCCGTATGCTGTCGTGCTTTTACACAACCACTGGATTCTATGCCGGCTCCATGGTAAGTTCAGGATACTGGTAGATATAAACCTGCATTGACACATGATAGTATTGTCTTTTAGGAATTCATAATGAAAATGTTGATCAAAATTGTTTGGCTGTGAACGTTTGGATCATTAATTAGAAAATTTATCTAACTTGTCTAGAAATATCAGAGGGATGAACATCTTTTTCTGCGGAAGTGTCTTTCCTGCTTATTAAATTGTAGAGGCATTATTCATGTGAATTTGATCAAATAATGTTGGCCTCAACTTAAGAGGGCAGGAAAGGTTTAGGAGGAACGAAACACTTTTCCTACCGTACATGGTGGCCAATTATTCTGAATAATTGTGTGTGGGTAAAGTTTGGAGAAAGGGAAAGATCTATACTTTTTCTGTCTTCTAGACAAAATGCAATACGATGATCTGGTGAATTATCTCTGAGACATGATTTTCTACATTGGGATATGCCTAAATCATGTAAAGTGAAATTTCAGAAACCAAGTACTATTTTCTGACTTGCATTTTTCAGTCTTGTGAATTGAAGCACTTTACAAAGTTCTGATTGTCCATGCAAGATAACCTTAAATTTTGTTTAGTGTACATGCTGGAAGACAAACAATTCTTAGAGTACTGTATTTCTGTGCTAAATTTGTAGAGTAATTGAAAAATCTGGTTTGAGATATCCTATTGGTTGTCCTTTACCGGCTGACATGGGCTTTTTCTTCAAAACTGCACAGATGGTGGTCCTTACTGTTTATGCTTTCTTATATGGAAAGCTCTATCTTTCGCTCAGTGGATTGGAGCAGTCCATAATTAAATTTTCAAGATCCAGGAGAGATAACGCTTTGAGGACTGCAATGGCTTCACAATCTATTGTTCAGATTGGGTTTTTGACGATGTTGCCGATGGTTATGGAGATCGGTCTAGAGAGAGGGTTTAGAACTGCAGCTGGTGACGTAATAATCATGCAGCTCCAGCTCGCACCTGTTTTCTTTACCTTTTCTCTTGGGACGAAGGTTCATTATTTTGGGCGTACCATTATACATGGAGGGGCTAAATACAGAGCTACTGGTCGTGGCTTTGTCGTAAGACATGAGAAGTTCGCAGAAAATTACCGGATGTACTCAAGAAGCCATTTCACGAAAGCACTGGAGATTATGGTTTTGCTCATAGTTTATGAAATGTATGGATCAGCGGCTACGGAATCTGTTGCTTTCCTTTTTCTAACATTTTCAATGTGGTTTCTTGTGGTCTCGTGGTTGTTTGCTCCTTTCCTTTTCAATCCATCGGGATTTGAGTGGCAGAAGATAGTGGAAGACTGGGATGATTGGATGAAGTGGATAGGTAACCGTGGAGGTATTGGTGTTCCAGCAAACAAAAGTTGGGAGTCCTGGTGGGATGAGGAGCAAGAGCACCTGCAACATACAGGTTTCTTAGGGAGATTCTGGGAAATTTTCCTTTCCTTGCGCTTCTTCCTCTACCAGTATGGTATTGTTTATCATCTACATGTGGCAAATAATGAGAAAAGTATCATGGTAAGTGTGAGAACGAGCCATTGGACTGTGTGGTTTCTTTCTTCTTCCAAAGATACATCTTAGTTTTTGACTTGTGATCTAACATGCACTAAATGTCTATTTTCTTTTCTTTATATTTTTTTTCCCCGCTGCATTACAGGTTTATGGACTGTCTTGGCTGGTCATTGTTGCGGTGATGATTATTCTGAAGGTTAATTAGTGCACTCTAAGATCCTCCTCTTCATTGAAACAATTCATTTTTCTCCAGAAGATTGATTGTCTTTCCATGGTCGATGAAATTCTATTTATATATTTTTTTACAGATAGTGTCAATGGGAAGGAAGAAGTTCAGTGCAGATTTCCAGTTGATGTTTAGACTTCTGAAGATGTTCCTGTTTATTGGGTTTCTGGTGACCATTGGCATAATGTTCACTTTCCTCAGTCTTACGGTTGGAGACATTTTTTCCAGCTTATTGGCTTTCTTACCAACAGGATGGGCTCTACTTCAGGTGCATATCGCTTCTTAGGTCCATTTAAATCTTCATTGTCTGCATTGCAGTATGAAAGACTAAATAATTTGATTTTCGGGTGCAGATAGCACAAGCATGCAGACCTATTGTGAAGGGCATAGGGATGTGGGGTTCAGCCAAAGCTCTAGCAAGAGGGTATGAATACCTCATGGGGCTGGTGATCTTTACACCGATTGCCGTTCTAGCCTGGTTCCCGTTTGTCTCAGAATTCCAAACCAGACTGCTCTTCAATCAAGCCTTCAGCAGAGGACTTCAAATTCAGCGTATTCTTGCTGGTGGAAAGAAGCACAAATGAGCAAAAGATTTTTAATATGATCATACTACTACCGATTTTGTAGGACATTTGCCAGGAGGATATGACACCGGCCCTGAAGGCGAAGCTTCATTTAATTAGCAGAGATTTTTGAAGGCACAGGGATCAATAAATCATGTATATTCTCATTTCCTCTATGATCCCTGATTCAATCAATCATGTATATTCTCATTTCCTGTCAACATCATAGCCAAATATATGTGTTATATTCAATATATCTGCTCTTTGATCACTCTTCGCTTTGCTCATTAGCTTTCCTCATTTCCAACGTGATATAGAATTCTAGCACTCTCAAAAAAAAAAAAAAAAAAAAGAGAAGGCCGCAATGCACCACAATTACCACCATATACACAAATGGTACTGCAGGTGGATGAGCAGAACTGGAACATCCAGACGTGCATGAGGAGAAAGCAAGAATGGGAAAATAAAAAATAACTCTATGGGGTAAATTGATAATGAAACTATAGTTTATGGGGATAAAATGATAATAACTTTAAGGGTTAAACTTGTCTTTTTACTTTAATTAACAAACTCCGTTAGTTTTGGAGGTAAAGTGACTAAAAGATAACGTTAAGGGGGAAATTGATAGTGGTACCAAAGATTAAGGGAGTAAAGTGATAATAACCGAATAGAAAAGAAAAGGAAGGATTGGTTAGGAAAGAAGAGGGGAATTTCGCCATTTTAGTATTTAAACATTTTCGCAGAAAATTTAACTACTTGTTCTCGAATAAGTTTTACACTCCTAATTAGGACCTTTGCGTTATTGTTCAAACAAAAACAATTCAAACTTATGCTATGGCGTCGTCATATTTTACACATTCTGCATGGTTCGATAGTCGTATAATCATCATTAAAGGGCTAAACTTTAGCCATTAATAGATTCAAACAACCCATCTATGTGATTAACTCCTAAAAATAGAAAAGAATTGGAGAAAATTGGGAGAAGAACTAGGGTTTCATAGAAATCAGCAACGACAGCCATAAATAAAAGAGTATATTTTATATACACTATCAATATATACACTATCACGATTGGATGGATAATACATGAGTAAATTTTGAATTTCAATTTAAATTTTGCACATGTGTCATATATTTAGTAAGGGAAATTTGCCAAATTGGTCCCTAACATTTGCCAAAAACACTTTTTTAGTCCCTAACATATAAAATCAGCCAAAATGATCCTTCACATTTAAATTATGAGCCAATGTGGTCCTATTGCTCGTTTTTGCTCATTTCTCCGGCTAAAAATAGCACGCCCCCCTCACGTAGTCATTTTTTTAGGGGCAAAACCGGAAAACACATTTCATTACTGGTTGAAGGTAAAAGAATAAGGGACCACTAGGAAAATACACATTTCACCTGCAAACTCTCAAATTACAGTTCGAAGAAACCCTAACTGCATCCCCAAATTAACAAGCATAACATGGAAATGTACTGCCGATGATGACGACGACAAACCTGTAAGGTGTGATTGAGAAAAGATTGAAGGTTTGGCGAGAAAATCGTGAAGAAAATCTTCGAAAAGATGCAGAATGAATCGGGAAAATGGGACTTCACAAAGGGTTACGGTAAATTTTTTTTTTTACCAATGTGGTTAGCAATTGTTGACGAATCTTGCTTAGAACTCTATTTTATGTTAATTAATTGAAGATTGTTCATTATTTTACTTAGTTTTGCTGTGGTCCCCAATTTTTATTTAGTTTTGCTGTGGTCCCTATTTTTATTATGAAAGGCTCCACCTTTCTGTCATGGTCCAAAGTAACTGTCGTTTTAATGGCTGACAGGGGCCAATGAGATGCATTTTTCTATTCGTATACACTTTGGAGGTGAACTTAGAGATACAGGAAATAGAGACTATGTAGGGGGTTCGGTTGACATAGTCGATGGTTGTAATCCAGAAAAATGGTCTCTGTGTAAGTTGGACGAAGTAGCTAATAAACTTGGATTTGAGCCTTATACAGTGGGTTACTACTACCTGATTCCTGGTAGGAATATGGCAGATGGATTAGTGTATATGTTGCAAGAGGATGATGCTGCTGAATTGGCTAAATTAGGGAGTATGTATGGGTTAGTTGATGTGTTCTTCATTCATCGAAGAACATATAATTTGCCTCATTTTGCTGTTGATGAAGAAGGAAGAAGGCATGATAGTAACAGAAATAATGAAGAATCTGTACATGTGGCCACACCAGAGAATGTTCAAGAAGAATCTGTACATGTGGCCACACCAACACCAGCTACTGATGGTGGTTTTCAAGACTCTAACATGGATGGAGGAACTCCTTCACGTACTGGTAAGAGGATGAAACAGATTGCGAAGAAGAGAACTTCACCTGCAAAAAGATTGAAAATGCAGCAGAGGAGAAAGGATGTTGGCCATCAAGATGTTACTGCTCAGAGTGGTGTTAGTGGCAGGAGTGGATCATACCAAAGTGCATCTCATGCTGCTGAACATGAGAGTGGAGGAACTACAAAAAGTCATGCTGTTGATGATGAAACTCCTGATGCTGCTGAATATGAGACTGCTGAGGCTGTAGAAACTGATGTAGGTGAACATGCAACTGATGGAGCTACAGAAATTGATGGTAATGAAAATGAAAGACATGGCAGTAGTAGACAAGGAAGAAGAGCACGAACTAAGTCAAGGAAGACATCAAATAGAAAGGCTGAAGGTAAAAAGTCATTCAAAAAAAATAATGAGCAGATCATAGAGGATATTGTCTCAAGTGATCCCGAGAGTTTGTATGATAGCGAATATGCTATAAGTGATGAGGAAGAGCTAATGAAATCTATTAGTGAAATACCTCCAGATTGGGCTAATGTTGCTAAACAGTTCAAGACAGCAAAGAAAGGTAAAGAAAAGGTACAAGAAACTGCTGTTAATGAAGAAGATAATGAATGCAGCATGGAGGAGTCAGATAATTCATCACATGATGGGCTGCACAGCAATGAGAGTTCTGAAGATGAAGGAGGGAGTAATGATGTGGACAAAAAGAAGTTTAGAGTATTCAATCCTGCAACAGAGATGGATGACCCAAAGTTTGAACTTGGGTTGTTATTTAAGTGTAAGACTGACTTTATCAATGCTGCAAAATCACATGGAGTGAAGTATGGAAGAAAAATCAGGTTTAAGAAAAATGATTCAAACAGATGCAAAGCTATATGTAGAGGCAAGAGATGCATGTGGAACATATATTGCTCAGTTAGGAGTGATAAAGTGACATTCCAAATCAAAAGCATGCTGCTGACTCACGCTTGTGGTAGGATAACCTATCATGGCCTGGCAAGTGTGACATATTTGGCCAACAAGTATTTGGAGGACATTAGGCTGAACCCAAATTTTAATGTAGGTGATTTTATGATAAAGGTCCACAAGGACTTGGGAGTTAGTATCACACCTAATGTGGGGTATAAGGTAAGGGCAAAAGCTAAAGGGATGATACATGGTGATGTCATGTCCCAATACAGCAAACTTTGGAGCTATTGTGAAGAACTTCAAAAGGCAAATCCTGACTCTAATGTGTTCATGACTACAACTGAGAATAATGAAGGTGATGATGAGTTTCAGAGATTCTATGTGTGTCTAGATGGTTGTAAAAGAGGGTTCTTGCAGGGTTGTAGATATGTTGTAGGTCTTGATGGATGTCACTTAAGAGGCTGTCACAAGGGAGTTCTTCTCACAGCCGTTGGTATTGATCCAAATGATCAACTATTTCCGATAGTATATGCTGTAGTTGAGACTGAAAATAAGAACTCTTGGAAATGGTTTGTAGAAGAGCTAAAGGGTGACCTTGAAATTATTGATGAAAACATTTGGACATTTATAACCGACAAGCAAAAGGTAATATATAACTAATTTTATCTTCAATTGTTGTTATGATAATACTTAGTGACAGTAATATAGGTTTGATTTTTTATTTCATTTATACAGGGGCTAATTCAAGCTATTCAAGAGGTACTGCCAGGGGCTGAGCATCGCATGTGTGTACGGCACATGTATAATAATTTCAAAAAACAACATCTAGGCCTAGCTCTCAAGGAAATGATATGGGTTGCAGCACGAGCTTCTTATAGGGACAGATTTGCTGGATTGATGGAGTCACTCAAAGAGGTTGATGAAGGTGCTTACAATTGGTTGGTAAGTCATACTTATCCAAAGGAGTGGACAAGATCACATTTTAGAACAAGTGTAAAATGTGATATTTTGTTGAATAATCTGTGTGAAAGTTTTAACTCCACAATCCTTGATGTTAGGCAGAAACCAATTCTTGACATGTTGGAGACCATTAGATTTTACTTAATGGTTAGGATAGAAAAAAAGAGGGAATGGATAAAGAAATACACTGGGGAGATATGTCCTAAAATTCTGAAAAAGTTGAAGAAAAATAAGCTTGCTGCAAATGACTGCATTCCTAGCCACTCCAAGGACTGGAAATTTGAAGTTAGGTGCATGTATGGTGATAGGTATACTGTGGACCTTATTAGTAGATGTTGTAGTTGTAGAAAGTGGGATCTTAATGGCATTCCTTGTGCACATGCCATTGCTGCAATTTGTGACACTGGAGAGGAACCCGAGAAGTTTGTACATAATTGCTACTCCAAAGAAGCTTACATGAGGGCATATGAACCCATGATAAGTCCAATGAATGCTGAGCACATGTGGAAAAATTCTGACATGCCGCCCGTGCTACCTCCTGAGAACATAAAACTTCCTGGTAGACCACGAAAGGCTAAACGAAGGGAGCCAGATGAACCAGCATCAGGTAAAAAGCAAAATAAGCAGCAGCAAAAGCTGTCTAGAACTGGGCAGATGGTGTATAAGTGTCGAAAATGTAACAAGACTGGCCACAATAGTAGGAAGTGTCCAAGCCAGACACAAAATGCCTCTACTGAGACTGATTCACATGGATTTGTTACACCTACACCTCCAGTTCCTAAGTCAAATACTCAGATGTCTGAGGATCTCATGGCAGATGCACCATTGGGAAGTCAACAATCTACATCAAACCATTCTAATGCTGCAAATACTCCAGTGAGTATCATAAACATCTTTTGCTTGTCAAATACTCATATTTTACTTTTATGTTATCTAACAAGCCTTCGTTAAAATTGTCAAGATGGAGAATATTGGGAAGTACAAGTGCTCTATCTGCCACCAATATGGTCACA